TCAAGCCTACATAACTGCTGAAGGGGTTTTTTGGTGTTGTCCCACCACCTTTTTTTGGGGTCATCTCAGGGGGCTCAGGGCGTCCAGGGCTGCTCACACAGCCTGAAATCACCCAGAGAGCTCCTCCTCTTCCTCCTGGGCCTTTTTCTTGCTTTCATCCTATTATCCCCTAGGAAATCCAGCTGAAAATCACAGCAGGCTCAGCTGTCCTCTCCAGTCACTGTGGTGTCACCCACGGAGCTGCCAGGGACCCCAGGAGCTGCCCAGCTTCACCCAACCTGGCCCAAACCCTGGGTTTCAGGGGGGGAAGAGCCCATGGGCAGCCAAGCACCTCAGTGCCCTGTCCCCATCACCCCAAAGCTGCTGGCACAGGCACCCTGGGCTGCTGATCGAGGCCAAATTAAGGCAAAAGGAGAATTTCCTGCATTGAGAGCTCAAAGGTTTTGAGCTGACACCCAGAGATTCTCTGTCAGCCGCTCAGAGCTGTCAGTGGTGAGCGTGCCTTCACCTCCTCTTCCTCTGGGCCACTCAGGGGCTTTCCTGCCTCTGCTGGGGCACCTGGTGCAGCCCAGCTGGGAGGAAAACACCAGCTCACTGCTGCCAAATGATGGGTTTGTCTGCAGAGCTCTGGGTGCTCCTGCCTGCCTTCCCTGAGCCTGTCACGGGGGGTTTGCAGGGTCAGGGCTCGCTAAAAGATGGGGTAAAATCAGAGTAAAGTCAGGATGAAGGGGAATTAGGATCCCTTAAAACCCTGATGTTGCCCCAGCTCAGTGCCCAGAGAGCTCCCATGGGACAGGGCTGCAGGTGTCATCCCTGTGGGGAGTGAGAGCACAGATTAATTTGCTTCCAGGGGTTTGGGGCAGCAGTTTCTCCATCCCCTGCTCTGTCCAGTCCCCTCCTGCCCTAGGCCAAAGCTGCACCGAGCCATTCCAGCCTCATGCCAAGCAGGGAGAAGATTTTGCCCCCCTCCACCTTCCAGGCAGCCTTTGCAGCCCCTGGGCACGAAGGGCTTTGCTCCGAAGGGGGCAGGTGGCACACGAGGAGCCCCTCAGCACCCCTAGCTGCGGGATGGGCACTGTGCCCACCCCTGTGCCTGGGGCCAGGATGCTCCTGGCACTCAGATAGGATCCCTGGGCAGGAAGGGGAGCAGCCCCGTGGCAGCACTTTGAAAACAGTGTATTCTGTTCAAAGCTGTGGTCTAAACCACAAAAGAAGCTGCAGCCCCGAGCAAGGAGCGGATGCAGCCCAAGGTGGCACCTTTTGAGATGAGATAGGCCAAGCCCAGAAGCATCAGCAGCTCCAAAACCACCAGAAGCGTCCACAGAGCAGCAGATTTGTCACAGCACTGTCACAGCAGACTTAGGCAGGGCTGGGGCTGGTAGGAGTCAGGGCATAGCTGCCTTTGGTCCTCCAGGAAGCCACAGAACAGTTTCAGGTGGTGGAGGAGGGGACGGTGCAAGTGTCTTTTGGGGACAGCATCTGAGCAGCTTCTTGGAGGTGACAGCCACAAGTGTGGGTGGCAGAAGGTTCAGTTTTAGCCTGGCCACTGTCCTCTTCCTGTCTGGTTGGAAACAGCTGGGGACAGCATCACCCCGCGAGCTGTGCCAGCCCCTTCGGCCATGTCTGAGCATCTTCTGAATTTTGAGAGCTTTCACCTTCCTCTTCTGCCTCCACACCAACCTCCAGAAGGGGCTGCTGCCCACCCTGCAGCCCCTGGCCCCTGCACGGCCTGACCACGGGGACCAGCACCCAGAGGGTCCCTCCTGGCCTGGGCCATGTGGCTGCCACCCCCACCCCACCCTGTGCCCCACCAGAAACCAGCACCACCAGTGGGGACAATTTGTCCTGTGGGTACCACAGTGACAGCAGTGACAGCAGTGACAGCAGTGACAGCACACCCCAAACCCCTCTGTGTCAGCACAGAGCCATCCCCTGGTGCTCCCCACCCTGTCCTGGGGGTCACCACCCCCCTGCACCCTCCCCCAGGCCTGTCCCCAAGCTGGGGCCATTGTCCCCTGTGCAGCAGGGACACGGGGCAGCTCCTGGAGCAGCCAGGGGCTAGGCTGGCAGCAGGGAGGGCAGGGCTCAGGTGGCCCTGGGGTGGCAGCAGGAGGAGGTGACAGCCCGGGGGGCTCGAGGGGAGCAGGGTGGGGCCCTGCTGGCACTCACCATGATGTCCCTGTGTCCCTCCCCAGGCCAGGTGCTCGGGCTCCCGTCACCGGCGGCCCGGGGCCATCCCGGAGCACTCGGATTTTATCTTTCTGCTGTAACAACGATCGTGACGAATTTTCTTTCCCTCCCACTTCCTCATTTTGAACCCTTTGTGGGGGTGGGGAGGACAACGACAGCTTTGCTACCGGGGACTTGGGGGTGGCCCTGCCCGGGGTGTCCCCACCTCTGCTGCTGCTGGCTGAGGGAGAGGATGCAGGGCAGAGCCCAGCAGGGATGCTCAGAGCCTCCGGACCTGTCACCCTGCAGTGGCAGCTGGATGTCACCTGCCCAGTGCTGGTCAGTCAGTGCTTGGAGGTGGTTTTAGGAA